TTGAATTTACGTGCTGAATATTTTATTTAATAAATATTTGATTGAAAATAAATATTAAAGAAAAGAGTTTTGAAATAGGATTAATGATGGCCTGTACAACAAGAATGGTCATTTGAAATAATGGTTGTCAAATAGGGATTAATGAAACAATTCTTTGGAGTTTTTTTCTATAAAAAATAAATTTTGACTTGTTTCTTTCTTGTAATAAAAAAATATAAAACTTGTCGAATATACAGATTTTTTATTAAGACTCGATCAAAATCAAGATGGCATGGGAAAACTATTTCTAAATGTTGGTAATAATATTCTCTAAAATTTTCAATTTTAGCAACGGTTTAGTTTAACTAAAAATCAAAATTTGAGGACCCATTTGGACGGATTAAAATCTGATTTTAATCTAAATCAAAATCAAACAATCAATATTAATCATATCTTTCATGAGTCTCACATCTTTTCAACCACACATTTCAAAAACTTTTATCACAATCCACTAAAAATCTAATTTTAATCCTCACCAAAAACCCTATTAATAAAATTAAATAAAATTTGATGTAAATATGATTGAAAAGTTAATAAAAATTATACCCCTATTTTTTTTCTAAATACATTTCAATATCTCTTCTTTTCAACCATATTCTTCAAAAAAAATAATATTACACGCAACCCAAAAGTTTTTCCTTCATTTTTAACTACACATTATTCATCAATCTAATATTACAATATATTCTACATAAAAAAATAAGGCTCAAACAGACCCATATATCACACAAGATGCGAAATTGAAAAAGAATTTGAAAAAAAAAAACCCAGAAAATTGAGGACCAGACGGGAACTTACTAGGATTTTTATGGGTTCTTTCTTGGGGAAAAAAAGGGGAGAGAAAAAAATAGACTACTCCGAACTGAATATTTCAATCCAATTTCTAAATGGACCGTCACATAACACTACGTACTAACAATTGGCAACATTCACTTAAACACGACCATAATCTACTCTCTTGAACAAGAGAAGTCCAGATAATTTTCAAAACTTAATGTTTACTCTATAAATTTCAAGTTTGTACTTTTTTTTTTTCCTTTTTTTCATTTTTTTGGGTTTTTTTTTTCAATATTTTTCTTTATATACAACTAATAAATCCGATAAAAAAAGGAAAATGCCTCGAGCAGTTGAAGAACACCAAAAACTGCTACAGAGCCATTGAACCCAAAAATCTAATACCTGTCAACATATATACAAAGTCGTTCCATTTCTCACACGAATGGACCACTAGCTTTAGTCGTCAACCTGTTAGATTTCTTTCCCCAAAATTGCGATATTGTCAGTTTTTGGATGTAACTTTGCAGCATAGAACCTCAAGGCTAGTGAATATCTTCTTTTGTAGCGGATGTTTTAACTTTGAAGTCGTTCAAATTACGATATTCTTCTCTGAGCAGTCTATCCAATTCTGGACGTTTCTTTAATGGTTCTTTATGGTCACGTGCCTCCCTGTAATGGTGAAATGCCCTGCCAAGGGATTGTCGAAGTAACAGGCAAAATCAGGAGGAATATATAAGAAAAATAATCATTAAGGAGCACAACGTAAAACAGAAAGGGGAAGATAAGATGAATAATCTGGTGAGAGAAAAGATGCAAGTACAAAGAGAAGTCGAAGGAATATAGAGGAGATTGCAAGTGCCAGCAAGGTCTTTGCATAAAACAGGAACCTGAATTACCAGAAAGAGAGGAAGAACTAAGCTTTGTCAGATAGCCAAGACTTTTTAACATGGTTCAGGATTCTATCATTCCAAAAGAAAAAATGTTGTGTTCACGCAGGTTTTTGCATGTAAGAACAAATTGATAAAGATTAGTTTTAGGAGATTCATGCATCTGTTCTTGAACAAGCTGAAACTTATTTAAGTCATATATTAAGATTCAGTCTATAAGCTTTTGAATACCCCGCCATTCAATCCGCCACAAAAAAAAAGATTTTACATATGATAATGAAGTCTATATTTGCTGAATTTGAGTTATATAGTAAGATTCAGTCTATAAGCTTTCAAATACCCTACCATTCAATTTGCCACAAAACAATAATGAATTTTACATATATCGATGTAGACTATATTTGCTGCATTTCCAATTTGAATTCAGAAAAGCAGTTGATCTTTATGCTGAAGTACACTATGAGAAGATTGTGACGATTGGTTGATGCTTAGCATGCATGTGTAGTAACGCGTGATTCTTGGCAAATACTTGCAGAATTCCAATCAAGCCCTCAATGAGAAAGATTTTTCTTTGGTTTTTCTTCTATCTCAATGCCTATCAGTGCTAGAGTTGTCATTCCACAATCTCCCGAACAGCATTACCAGCTGTCCTCAATGTTTTCATCACTCATCAAAACTCTAGCATCCTTACTCCTAATGCACTGACACTGCAAATTTTCTAGTTTTCAATTACCAACAGTCGGCTAACCTATAAACCTCTCTCTCCTCCTCTCTGTGCCTAGAAAACTCACCATATTCTTTTACCACATTTTTAAACAGCTTTCATGGCTTCCTTTCTTACCCACCTACACTATTCAAAATCTTCTCTCACTCATGATCATTTGCCACCTCATGTAACATGCTCACTTCTTTTGATTGCATCTTGAACGTCACTGTTCAACCACCACAACTCCCTAGCAATAAGCTTTCCTCCTTTATTATCTCCTAAAACCTTCTTTGATGTCTTCATTATAAACAATCAGTCATCTTAATCCACATAATAATTAAGAGAATCATCCAAATCCCAAGTAGAGTCTCCAAACACCTTTCTGGCTCTCATATCCTTCAGTTTCACCATTTCACCATAACATCCTTCATATTCCTTTTCACACTTGAGTGTTGCCTAAAGAAAATATCTAAAACCAAACCTATTTGGTGAGATTAAATAGATTCATAATCCTCTTACCAAAGAAACATATATCTAAGTCCTACCAGCTCAGAATTCATGGTAAAAGAGTTCATCCACCTTTTGAAAAAAAAAGATGCTTGTTACTATTAGATCATAAGACCAAAGGTAATTCTAGAACTCAACACTTCAGCGTCATTTTATTTTAAAAAATCAAGTCCTTGGGTATCATATCAAAAGCTCCACTGTTCTTTCCTACATGTCCATTAATGTCTATCCTTCAGGTACTCACTAACACCTCCATATCCTCCCAAAATTTCGATTTAAGCCACTCCGAATCCAATTTGACGCGTGCAAGAACAGACTATGCATTATGTTATCTTCTATAACAACTTTAATCAATATAACCTTGCACTCATTCTGATCAATTTCCCTAGTTCTCTCCCACACAATTACTTAAATCATCCAGAGAAAATAATGACTATAACCTGTTCACGTTAAAAAGTAGTTCAGTAACAATAATGTACTTACCAGTACTTTTCGAGGCCATAAATGTTCCCTTTATTGTAGAAGTCAAGTGCCAGCTGTTCAAAGTCCTCATACAGATCCTCTTTGAATACCTTCTCCAAACCATAACTGAGAAAAGAAAACAAGTGATAAAACAATCTAAAACAGAAAAGCATTTGTGAAAGAAGAGTAGTTGAATAGAAAGAAAATTCTCAACAGAAACTAGGACAAACAAGCAAAGCATGAAGCTTACCTATAAAACCTGAATAGACACTCTATCCCATAATTATAATTAGCAGCAGCATCTTCTAGAGCAAACTTCCGAAAATCGTTATACATGGAAGGAATAAACATGTTCCTTAAGAAATAAGACCAAAATCGGTACAGTGTATTCATCTCCTGCAAAAATTACACATGCAATTTATACATAAACAGTATGCACATCATAAGAGAAGCAATGCCATGATAGCAACAGATATAATCCAATCTGCTCTCTATATATACATGCTACATGCCAAATAAACATATGGATGGATAAAATAAAGACAAATAAACAATCAGATTGATGGAGAAGTTAAAAAGAAAAAGAGAGAAACTTTATACACTACATCCACCAATAAGTTTGTGCACCCTTTTAAACAATAGAAATTTGGTAGAATGTCTAGTTATAGAAAATAATTGGCGAGTTCAGCATATTTAACAATAATGCACTTATTTCCTAGACTCTAACAGGGAAGATAAACCCCATCCCCTTATCTTAGAGGCAATGACATCTCCCTAAACTCTAATAAGATACAGTGAACATATCTGGAAGTGCACTAAATAAAGGGGAAGCCAATAACAATGAGAGTCTTCGCAAAAGCCTTCTGTGCTTATCTAAAATCAAAGTTAGATCTTTGATGCAAGACAGTTGTAAAAACTCCTTCACAGAGACTCCCACGACTGACGACCGTGGGATTTGATGTAAATTGCATGGTAAATGATTTTGGTGATGAATTAGGAATGATTTTGCGAAGAAAGAAAAATGTCTTAAAAGAGAGTTTTCCTTAGGATCAAAAATGCTGAAAAATACAGAACTTCCATTGTTTTCCTGTTAGGACTTTTAGGCTCTAATGACCCTACTGGTGTAGGAAAGATTTAGAAAATTTCTTGTAAAGACTCCTGCAATAAATTTAGTAGAGTTTGATATAAATTCCAGTGGACAGTGGGTTTAGGATGATTTCCCCAAAAAAGGGGGAGGGGGGAATAAATTTTATAACTTTATTGGGTTGTTTCCATAGGTGGTGTACACAAAAACAATGCTTTAGACTAAGGTGGATAAAAAGAAGAAACTTAAGGGAAAAGAATAAAAAATAAAAATCCAAATAAGGGGAAACACACAACAGAGTATCAATTTGTTATCATGTTAACTTCATGAGAATACAGAGATTGTACAAAAAGATCTGTCCCATTGAACCAAAACTAGAACTTAAACTAGGAAAGTTAAAAGATTATTCTAAGCCCAATTAGGATTCTTCATAAGCACCGAAACAACATCACTAGAATTAAGAAAAATCCTAATAGATATTACCCACATCTAGCAATTATTGGAAAAAACAAAAACTCACTCTTAAAAATTATCCTGTGCACTAATATCTCAGCAGATTACTAAAAGGAAAAAAGGATAAACTCGTTCAATTTTTTCAAATCTGCTTATATGAACTATATAATTTGCCTTCTTTTTAAGCACATCTTCTGCATCAATTTCTTCCCAAAACTTGTAAAATCATACTATACGTCTACCAAACAATTGAAGATGTTGAGCAAATATTTAAAAGAATACCTCACTGCAACCAACGCCCAACCTTTTTCGTTCACTAAGGCACCTCTTGTGATACTTCTTATACCTGTAGAGAAGAATCTATAGCCGTGTTGAAAAATCTAATGAGCAGTGAAAGATGCTGGAATCTCAAAGCAAAAGGCAATCACACGCATATGAAATGCTAAATATATGGTCCAATATAACCAAACACAGAGACTTGCATTTGTATCCTAACAGTATCTCTAAAATATATCTACTCACAGCTGCTGTTTGAAGCCATTTTCCTCTAGAAGCTTATGACTTGGATGCTGAAATGGTGGAAATGGTTTTGGCATCGAACCAACAGGCGGACTACTTCCAGAAAGATTGCTGTGAGGTGAAGCACTCAACTTTGAAGGCCTCAGCCTGGGTAATTGAGAGTTGAGCTTTAGAAAATTTTAGATTTATAATTAGCCAATAAACCTTAAGCAAAAAGTTTACAGAAATGTATTGTTTGCTTTAGAAAACTTACCTATCACTCAAACAACATAAAATTATTCTAGACGTTGAAGAAAAATTAGAGCATATGAATATGATCTGAACTCACCCGTGACTATCTGGAGGAGTAGAACCAAAGAAAAAACCCACTAAATCTCTAGGTGGACTTTCAGTTGTCATGCCAAGAGAGTTTCTGACGCTTCCATGACCTTTAACGTTTCCAGAGAATAGGCGCTGCTTTTGAATATATTGATGCTTGGAACTGACTTTGTTTTGCTTCCTTCTAGAATTCAAATTTCCAGGCTCCTCATGGCCACAAGAAGAATGTTCAGGATTCCTTGAATTTGATACAGCAGCACTGGCAACTAAACATTTGGAAATCTCGTTCCTGCTTTCATTATTGGGCTTATTACTTCTACGATGAGATCGTTTTGACTTCAGCTCCTGCAAAAAGCAAAATATTAAAAGCAATTGGTTTTTATTCAAGTATAAATGCAGTAGAAGAGAAAACAAAAGTCAACCTGCTCATAAAAGTAGAGTCC